GAAAGAGTTCCTGCTGAAAAGCACCTAACGATCTGCCAATAAATATTTAAAGCAGTTCTATTGAAGCAGTTCTGAATATAAAGAATTCTTTAATAAACAAAGATTCATTTGATAATGAGAAGAATCATTTCTTCAAAAACAGTATGAGAGATACAGTTTCATGTACTGTGTATGTGTTGGGGTAGTAATGGTCTTTATGTGGGAGAGAAGTAGGGATGAGTTTGTTTGGTTGTTTGTTTGGTTGGCTGGTTGGCTGGTTTTTATCTCAGGATATCTCTTAGCATAGAACAAGGAGTTGCCCTCCTCCAAAAATCCAACAAGGTACGAGGGGCACTTGTCAGAACAGGAGGGTGTTTAAGGCTGTCTTCCAACTGGTCTGACAACACCTTTAACTTTTGCCTCAGCTCTCTGGCTCTTTTTCTAATCTAATGATCCTCAGTGTAATCAGTGACTGTTTATATATCAAATATCTGATGCATGCATAATTTTAAAATTTTCTCTACATTAAAAAAAAAAAAAACATTGCTTTGCACCTCTCATGCAGATTTCTAGGGGCCTCATATGGAGTTGTACTATACAGACTTTGAACAAAGATTATTTTCACTGATCTTGCCTTCTAGCGGCCTTACTATAGACAGTTCGAACATCACCGAGATATGTTAGGGGCTTAAATTTATCATTAGGATTCAAATGAGGAAATTGAAGTTGATGTAATTTTTAGTAACTGAGATATAAACACACTAGTGGGTTTAACACATGTTCTTCGGATTCCTTATGGACACAAACAACTTTCGCAAATCAAGAAACATTAAGCAATTTGATATAAGAAGAAAAACTGAAATGATCGCACAAGACAGGAAGTAGAAAGCACTCTACAGCTGAATTACCAAGGCATCTGTCCTTCTATTTCAATGTAATGCATATAGTCATCTGTGGAAATGTGTGTTTGTCTCCATATACTGGACATGCATCTTTTGAGCCTCCCATTCCCACTAGTTCAAATATACATCATATCTTTTTATTACTGTGTCAGACCCCTAACTCATCACCTTGCTTACAATCTCTCTGTTCTGCAACCCATTCTACAATATTCACCATAAGTCTAATCAGTCTAATTTTTACTGAGCACCTCCTAGGTGCCATGCATTATTCTAGCACTATACAAAGAATCCTACTAAAGAATCTAGGGAAGGAAAAAGACATTAAACAAGTAAATAAATAAAATGCAAGGTAGTTACAGATAATAATAACTACTCAGAAGAAAATAAAACAAGGTAATGGCTGCCTGATGGTTACCCTAGCTAAAGCCATGTGATGACCTTTGGGAAATGCATGCTTTATAGAAAGAACAAAAGATGTTAAGCCTATAAGACAAGAATAAGGCTGGAACATACAAAAGAGCATTAAAAAATATACAGGTGGTAAGCAGTGAGGAGATGTGGGAGATGAAGTCAGAAAAACATCTGGGCAAGATACATAGGGCTTTGTTAGCCACCATGAAGAGTTGGGCTTTTTTTTTTTTTAGGCGAGGCAACCCTTGGTTGACCTCACAGATTTCAAGGACCTTGTCAGCTTACAATCCCTTATTTTTTGCTCCTACAGCACCTGGTCTTCCTAGGTGGTCTCCCATCCAAGTACTAACCAGGCCCGACCCTGCTAAGCTTCTGAGATCAGATGGGATCGAGCTTGTTCAGGGTAGCATGGCCATAGACAAGAGTTGGGCTTTTATAATAAAATTGTACTACACTATTGAGAAGACTCTGAGAATTATTTGTATTTTAAAAGGGTCACTCAGGCTGCTATGTGGAGACAGGCCAGAAGATAACAGAGTAGAAGAGGGGGACAGGGTAGAAGGCTGTGGCAGTCATTCAAGAATAAGCAACTGTGACAATATCTCTGTAAAGGGTCAGATAGTAAATGTTTCTAGCTTTGCAGGTGATACAACCTTTGCTGCATCTACTCCATCTTTCATCGTAGCACAAAAGTAGCCACAGACAATATGTAAATGGCTGTGACTACATTCCAATAAAACTTTATTTATGAACATTGACATCTCAATTTCACAAAGTTTCACAAATCCTTCTTTTGATTTTTTTTCAAACCACTTAAAAATGTGAAAACTATTCTTAGCCTGCAGACCTCACAGAAACAGGTAATGAGCTAGACTTGGCCTGCATGGGCCTTATTTTTCCAACTCCTGGGTTAGCCTGCAGCTGTGGCAGTAGAAGTAGAAAGATGTAAATGGATTTGGAATTTATAAAGAGGCAGAGTTAACAGGACATGCAACTGGGCACACACGACAAGTGAGGAAAGATAAAAATGGAGGAAGCCTGCTGGGTTTTTACCTGAGCAGTTGACAGACCACCCTGCCACAGAATCCTAAAGCCATGTGATCCTGGGGCTCTCACAAGCCCCTTTCGATGCCTCCTCACTGCACAATAAATCTAACCACCTGTCACTGTATTTCAAAACCTCATGACCTGGCACAACTAACTTCTCCAACCTTGCCTCCAACTGCCACCTTTCACATACCTTACCTTCCAATCAAGACTGTTTTCTAACCTCCAAGCTCTTGTTCACACACCTAAAACCCCTTCCTTTCTGTTCCTCTATGTCCAAATCTCAAGCATCCTGAACACACCATGGAAAATGCCACCTGTCCCACAAAGACTCCTCTTCCTCTCCCAACAGGAAGAAACAGAGCACCTGCCCTTCTATTTCTTTCTCTCAAATCCCTTGCTCAGCCTTCATTTGTATTTTAGGCGCTGGTATTCACATCTCAGGTCTCTGACTTAACTATAAACTCCAAAAAAAAAATGGACCTGAGTTTCATTCATATTTTTATCGGCTCCCACATCATAGCTTTATATTTGATGGGCACTGACAATTGTATTAAAATATTTAAGGAGGCAAGTGTGAAGGTGTGTAAGACAGGAATAATTATACATGTGCCTGAATAAGAAAGCTGGTTTCTTGCTCTTCTACCAATAACTTTTAAAAGGAGAGATATTTAAAACAAGAACCACTAGCAATAAGTCAGAGGCTATACAGCTGCCTTTATCACTCCTCTTAAACCTTTCTTTTAATTCCTCCAAACTTCAGTGCCCAATTTGCATCCCGAACATCTGAACAATAAAAATGTCTCGCTGAAAGACTTGCATTGAAGCAGCTCCATTTCTTTCAATACTTGGGAATCCAAAATGCTCAGAACCGACCTAGGAAACAACTCTTTATTCCACATACCGAGAGATGTTCCCGACCAGCTTTGTCAGCAACATCTGTGGAAGCGATTTCGTTACTTCTGTTTGTTGTGTCGCCGATGTCATTCGCTGCAGTCCCATAATCTAAAGGTGGAGAAAGAGGAAAAAGAAGGAATCATGAAGTTGTCATTAGGCTGCCAAAAACCACAAGGCCACAGAGTGACCCAGAACAAAGACAGACAAATCACAAGATTCCCAAACCACTGACAGCCTAGCTGGGGAGGAACAGGACCCAGCTATTGTAGTATTGGAGTTGTACGGTGCCAAAACGGTACTCAACTCAAATCTTTACATCACTGTTTTGTTGGTCAAATTCTAAACCAGGTTTAGGGTTTCTCTTGGCACATAAGGAAATATCCCTTTTTTGATGAGGAATTTAATATAAATACGAAAGAGAATCAACCATCCAAGAATCACAGATTTATAGACCTGGAAGGGTCTAACCACCAGTTTTACAGAAGACTATCAGCTGAGGAGAGTTAATTGACTAGTCTAAGGTCAACTGGCAAAAAGGTGGCAGAGCCTAAACATGAACCAGACTGAAAATCAGCAGCACCAATCGCAGGGCAGATGCATCTTATTTGAGTAAGAGGCAGCCCCTCAACATGGAATGTGGAATCAGCACTGATAGGGAACTTGGGTCCACATATGAACTTTTTGAAGAGTTCTGAATCATCGATATTTGTTTCAGAATTAACTGACAGGGACTTGTACCAATACAGTATTTAGAATTGTACAAATATGTTCTCATATCACTGTATTTCAAGTGGATCAAGATGAAAATTAATGACTGATTTCTTGTGAGCAAAATTTTTATTAAAATTACGTATAAAAGTCATAAAAATTTTGTTAAACTTATTGTAGACAATGTTGTATATAAATGTTCTGTATTTTTATTCTAAATAGATATGGTGCCTTCAATTTGTATCCTGAACAAACAACTTCATTAAGTCAGCCCCAGTTAAACTTCTCTCAGTAGAATTATCATGCAAGCCTCAGGATAACCAATTTAAATTATATTTTCATTAGCATAGCATTCCTTTGAATGTGAATGAAAAGTAACAAAAAGTATCTATTTTCTACTTGTTTGCCACTTTATTATTAACTCCAAAACTAAATTTTCACCATTTCCATTTTGAATATATTAAAACAATTTCAATCAAACACTAAGAGATATCATTTACTTGCTTATTTTCCTTCTTCGTATCATAATCAGACACTCATGCAAAATTAAATCATTAAAGCATCTATAGTTTAATAGCATGACATCTTGACCCAAAAACCTAAAGTGGGATCTGAGGCCAAAGGAAACATGACATTAAGTCTTGAAGTTATTGGAAAGGAGTCCGAAACATAATTTTAAATTGTAAAATCACAATTCAAACATACTTCTCTGTGATACAATTTGAGATACTCTTCCTTTAAACCTTTCTCTGTGATACAATTTGAGATACTCTCTGTGGTACAATTTGAGATACTCTTCCTTTAAACCTTCCTTTATTTGTCTTAATACTAAGACAAATAAAAACAAAAATATACAAATCGTATGCACAAAACCTTCTAAACCACAGCTTGAAGGAAATATAGCTTAACATGCATAAAGCCGGTAAAGACAATATAATTCCCCAGTTAAAACTAGCTCAAATTAAATATACACATATAATAAACATATAAACACAGGATCATTTTATAGAAAAAAGAAAATGGCAATGTGTATACAAAATATAAAATTAAAGAACAGAATGTTTTATAAAATAAATGTATAAATATAACATTTAAACCAATCTAATTTTTAATGAATCTTAAATTTCAAGCCAAGTGTTAAAATTTATCCTGCCACTTCCCCAAACAGAGGCCTCCTGGTCATGAAGGTGGTATGAAAATCCATTAAAGATGGATTTTCACACCTATTAAAAAATCCCTGGCTTCAATTAAAATAGTGAAACATAGATGAGATATTCAGTTAAAAGCTAATATAGTGGACCATTTCGTTTCTTCCCTTCCACATTCCTAAGGGAACCCCATTTTATTCAAGGAGTTCGAGCACATCCTCTGAGGAAACTAATTTAATCTCTAATGGAGTTCTAGTTAGTCAAGGGTTAATCCATCCTGCTTATCAATAATGGAGGCAAGAATGGATCATGGGGTCCTGAATCAGATACAAGGAGGGCCAAGTGGGGGTTACTGGAAAAGTTCTCTTTTTTATAGAACTCTTTCGGAAGCTCTTCCCTTTCCCCCAGCGATATGAACAATATCCTCTCTAAGGGGCCTCATCTAATAACCAGAAGGGGAGCCAGGCTTCAGGGAAGCCAGTGCAATGGGAAGGGGAGGGTAAAGATGAAAAAACCTGGGTCCCTGATGACATGGTTGAGCTGCTGGTTTAACCCACCCTAAAACATGTCCTATCTTTGAGGTTCCTGTCTGCGAGCCAAAGTTCCTTATTATATAAGAAACACGATTTTGAATGGAGTTTACCGTCATAACTAGAAACTGATACACCTCCCTTTTCTTGGTAGCCATGGCTTTTAAACAGGTAATTAGTTCCCAATTATAGAAACAAGTTGTATGTTACAGCAGAATGGATTTACTACTTCCAAGAACAGAGCACAAGAGAGAAAATGCTATTTACAGGCACCATAAACATCAAGGGAAAATTGCCATCAATATTGAATGATTTTTGAAATATTATTTTGGCCGATGTAATACTTGAAATGTATATTTAACTGAGCTTAAAGCTGTTCTTTTAGTTGATTTATTTCATTTTACACAAACATTTTAAAAGAATACAAAATAAAGACAACATGATAGCTACCTTCATAAATTACCTCAGGATAATTTGGGTCTGTACCTAAAAAGCAAAACAAAGCAAAGATTTGTAAGTATGCATTCAGAGTTTAAAAAAATACTAACTTATACCCACTAAAATGAGCTAAATATATATTGAAGATTTTATAACTGGATAGATTGTTTTATAGGACAAGTAAATAAAACCTGAAATTCTCCATTTGCTTCATGTTAACTCTATTCCCTTCCCCAGTCTATAACTTCCACCCCTCTCAAAAAGAATAAACAGGAATCACAAATCAATTTAGCTGGAAAAACCACAGCAATCAATGAATTTCTTTTACTATTTCAATTATACGGTTGGCCAGGTTAATCACAATTTTGGTATTTTTATCCCAGAGGCAGATCATTTCTGTACCACTTTTGTTATTCTCTGATGATTTGGGGTTACTTTCACACTATGTTTTGGCAAGTCCATTTGCATTCATGAACATGTTATTAACCAGCCTGTATAATGATATCTAAAGCACAAGTTTGCTCTCTTCTTGGTCTTAGGGAGGTTGCCAAGGCTGAATAAACCTTTTTTTTTTCTTTTGCCCTAACACAATACAGAAAAATAAGTGTACTTACTCTAATGAAATTGTTGACAAGAGATTATAAATTAATATGTCAGAGAGAATGCAAAATTATACCCATTTAATTTTTTTGGATGGCTGTATTCACCAAGACAATCAGAATATTCTGTTTTAAAATGTTCCATCAGAATTTGTAAAAACATTTTTAAGCTTTTTTTTTTAAGTCACAACAAGAACTGGTGACAAAAATATTTCCTACTTATTCTCCATTCAGAACTAGCTGAGTCTCTATATGAAAGCCTACTTGGAAATAAAATTAAACTTTGATGTAACATTTTAGTGATTACAAAATGAATTTCCAAAGCTATTTCCTCCACTTTTAGTCTTCACTTACCATGTGAAAAAGTAAAACTTGCAAACCATAAAGCTTACTCAGTTCTCATTTCACTTCTGAACCTTTAGCCAAAAAAAAATACTATTTAAAATAAAGTGATAGTTGAGCCACTTTTCTATTCCTGTATTCCTTAGTGAATAATTAAGGTTAGTCTAAATGAAGAATCAAATAAAAGTGGCCTAATGTTCAAGTTAGAAGTTTAACACAGTTCAACTAGAAGAACATCATTTTAGCAGGAGAAAATAATAAGTAGATGGTTGTGCACTTAGATTCAGAGATGCTGCATACTTCTGTGCAGTTCGTGCTTTGTACAACTCTGTGGGGTGCCATTCAGACTGCAGTCTATGTGAAAGGCATCACCTGATATTGTGCAGTGCACAACCTGTGCAGCCACATGTGATGGCCCTGTATCAATTTGTGCAGTCATTGATTCCTGCAAATTTCAATTTTATTTTGAGTTTTATCATCTCAATCATCATTTCAAAGTAGTTTTTACAATATATCAATATGTAGTATCTGAATTATCTGTAGCTGATGTAACATTCCAGAGGAGGGCCTTGCAGGCTGCCCTTCAGTTTGAGAGGAAATTCAGTGAATAAAGCAGCAGGAAATCCCAATGGCAGCTCTGGTGATATCATTTGCAGGATACCCACCCATCTGCTGAAGTTCTTTCATTTGCAAAGTGCATGGACCAAATAGTATCCCCTCACTGTGAGGATTTTTTAGCCCTGCTGAAGAAAAGGTTCTATAACCCCAAGTGAGCAAATCATTCTTTTAACTGCTCAATAATCCATGACTTTAAAAGATCCTATTCTGGTGTCCTTCTTATTGTGCCCTCAACATACAGTCTGAATCTGCAAGGCTACCTGCCCACCAGAGTCCATCTTCACTTCTAGACCTCATTCCAAGTGCCCAGGACCCAGAATTCCTTTCCCACAGGCCCCAAACACACTTTTGAGGACTGGCCAGCCTTTCCTTTACATCTGTCAGCCCATGGGTGGTGACACCACGAGTATGAGTACCCTCTGGCTCAAGATACAAGGCAGAGGCGAGGACTCAGCCAAGACAAATGATGGGGCATCCACATGCACATTCATTACTTCTCACATACTTCTCACTATATAGTCAGAGGCATAGGGTACTGGCCATGGATAGGAACCAGCTCTACCAAAACCAGTAGGTTCCAGCCTGGAACTTTAAGAGTCTGAGAATTCAATCTTCAAACTTAGCCTTCCGGGTCATTATAAACATGTATTTGGAGGAGGATAGCACCCATTTTATTTAACAAGATGTTAACTTGATTTATATTTTTTAAATGTTTAGATATAAGTATGAGGACGTTCATTTGTACTAGGATGACCCTCCATCCCAACTGCCTGAGATTGAGGGGATTCCTGAGGTGTTGGACTTGAAGTTTTAAAACTGGGACTAGTCAGTCACTCTGTTTTGTTCTCATGCCCTCTGAGATCCCCAGTCACCATCGCTTTTATTCTACAAGAAAGTAAGAAGGCTCTGGTAAGAATTCGGAGCCAGATTTGTCTAAGCCACACACTGAAAGGGTCTCAGTGGAAATGACTGACAGACAGGTATAATCAGCCTCATCACAGAAAGGGAACACCCAAACACACTCCTCATAAAGCCTCTAAGAAGATTCAAAACATCGAATTAATTCAATGTAGCAAAAGTCAGGTATAGGAAAATGGGATTTGGGGTAGAATCAAAAGTAAACAGGTTAGTGCATAATCTGTAAAACAGGTTGTTTTCCAGATTTATGATTCATATCAGTGCATGCCTTTTCTACCAAGCTTACTAGCAAAAGCAATTAGATCACATCTAAACTCTCTGAAAAGCACTATACTTTCCTAACTTCATTTTCCCACATGTATGAGATGTATTGTCACTTTACTTTTATTGTCAGGAATAGCCAAATTTAGTGAAAGATTATGAAACTCACAGAAAAACAATGTAGGAGGAACAGTGATTTTTTTCCCTCCCTAGCATACTGTACTATGTCTGATGAGGGCCTACTCACCACAATAAAGAAATGCCTCTTCGTGTACCAAGATTTGGGAAGCCTGGCACTTGGGAGGGTACACAGACAGAGTTTATAAAAAAAACAAGGGTTACATTACTCGAGCTGACCTCAGCTCATCAAGCACAGTATTTTGCTTCTAGCAACTTCTCAGGCAAGCAAACCTCCCATGGCATTTACACTCCAATAGTGAGATAATTATTATCATCATTTTAAATGCAGACACTGGAAAAAAATCACCACTTCCTTTTTAGATTTCTGGCAATGGTCAAGTTTTGAAAATAGACTGCCATTTTTAAGTCTGGTTCCTTTTATTTAGTTTAAATATGTTCATTAGATATTGTTATATACTAAAAGGTAGACACTGCTGTTGGAGATATTCAAGACAAAAAGGTGACTGAGGAAAGGCAAATACTAGCTCTAAGGGAAAAAGCCAATGGAAAGAGAATGAGTGAAAGATAAATGAGTAGCATCTGACGAGTAATATACTTGTAGTGGGGATTCGAGAAGGGTTATGCTACCTTGAATACTATCCTAGTCGCTCTCATCAGGTAAGAAATATCAAATCTAGGCAGCAGGAGGTGGCATCAAGCCCTAAAGCTTCAGTCAAGAATCTCCGTAAGAGAAAATGGGAATTTCATCAACCCACTGCATTCCAAACAGGAAGCAAACCATTTTCTCCCTCCACAGCCCACTCAAGTGCAGAAGCTACAACTCCTTGCCAACCCAAAGAAGATGCACGCCAAGCAGAAATGTCTATTTTCTGCAAAGTTTGTTGAGCGTCTCCAAGTGCTACACCAGTTGCACTTTGTTCTTGACCTAAGGTCTGTTGTCTGGAACTATGGGAAGAGGACTAAGAGTTTCAGAGAGCAGCCTGAAGCACTTCCGGTGAAAAAAACAATGACGACCTTATCACGGCCTCATGTGCACTCATGATAAAGCTCTGTACTAAATGAGCGATGTCTACACCTCCAAGAGAGAGGCATTTAAGCTTCTAAACACAGATGATAAATTCACTCCCCCGCCCCCCGCCGCCAAAACAACACCAAAGCAAAGCACTTCACCATCTTCTTAATTCCATGCCAAATGACTTAAATGAGAGTTTTTTTCACTTCCTTCTTCTAATCTCAGTTATGGCCTACAAGCACATCTTATGACTTCATGTAAATCTTCATGAGTAAAACTTTTTATCTGCAAGGTTATACAATTATAGGAAACACATTTGTAGGATTTTTTTTTTTAATTGTGGGAAAATAGGTAGTCTGACAGTAGGGTTCATTTTGCATTCTGCTGCAGAGATAAAAATAATGGTGGAGGCCAGAAGACACATCTGTTTCCCTCCTTTAAGCTTTTAGTCTCATTCTAATGCCTTAAAAGAAAAAAAAAAAGACTTTTCTTTCAATTCTATTTTTAGACTCTCTTTAGTGCGATCTTGAAAAATATTTCAAAGACTCCCATATGATAAAGCCATAGCAAAAGGTTTGCTCTTTTCAAATAAACTGTCTTTTGTCAATAGTGCTTCTAACTCATGGCGGTCCATCTTTTGATTCCCAGATCCTTCGCTTCCCTTTCTGAATGGCTGCCTGAACTGAGAACCTGAAAACACTGGGGGTTCAGACGCTGGGTTCCTGGCTGAATCACTAATGCGCTACGTAGCATGGGGAGTCTCTTCACTTTTTCTGTACCAAAGGAGACTTCCATGAGACAGGAGAGGATAATAGCATTGGCTTTGGCAACTCCTCAGGAGCTTCGGGAAGCATAATTAATTAACATTAGTACTCTTGAGACATAAAGAGCTATTTAAGTATAAATCTTAATTATCATGATTATTATGATTCTATGGCCGAACAAGACTCTTCACAGTTATTTAAAACAGAAAAGCAGGTGTAATTTTCTTTCCTTTCTTCTCCCAGGATAAGAAATGGGTCCTGACAAATGTCTTAAGGGGCAAGTACTGGGGGAGTTTCTAGTTCCTCAGTGTGTGACATTTGGAAGAATTTCCTTTCTCTACATTCTTTGGCCTAAGTACACCAAATCTAAATCTGCCAGTTTGAGGGCAATTC